CCAATGATCAGATTGCATCCAGCTACAATGGCACTCTTACAGTCCCCGTATTGGATAGCTCGACACGCCTCGTGAAGCCCGACTAGTGATGCAGAGCAACCAGTCTTGACAACCATACTGTGGCGCAATTTCTGTTAGCCCTGATACCCAGCACAAAGCAAACACTCTTGCTTACCTAGGGCCTTTAAGATCATATTCGAAAGAGATGCGATTGGCAAGCATGAGGTCGCCATGTCCTGTCATAATATATCCTCCTGCATGCTGGTTCTCCTTGGCGCTCATCTGGAGCCAGTCCTCGCCAAAGGTACCGACATAGCAACCGATTGATTCTCCTCTGAAATTAGCCTCGCCCGCATTTTCCAACACCTCGCGTGCAACCTCAAGGAGCTGACGCTGTTGAGGGTCAGTCCGCTCCAGCTCGGTTTTGGTAAAGGTAAAAAAGGATGTATCCAGGGCAGTCAAGTCGTCCTCTATGAAGTAGCCGAACTGCGTCTTGATAGCTCCCTTGTGGCCAGTCCGGTCTGTGAACCCTTGTGCGTTGTATCGGTCTTGCGGGATTGGGCCTCTCGTGTCCTTTCCATTTACAAGAACGTCCCAAAAAGCACCGCTGTCGTGAACTCCGCCTGGAAGACGCATGGCCATTCCACAAATTGCGATCGGCTTTGGCTCAAACCCCGACTTTGGGTCAATTCCGTTAATTGCAGTGGTGACAGCTCCATCTGGAATCTGATGTTTTGCTTCGTGCCCCATGGATACTGAGGTCTTCTCGAGCTTGGATGGATAGCCGTTTTCCCCGACCGCCGGGGCTTTTCCGACATCTTCGACAATAGATGGAGCCATTTGCTTGAGATATGAGGGTGTCCTGTACACCGGATTCTAAGTGATATATGAATGCAATCTCCTTGAGGGCGAGAGAGGTTCTATTGATGGCTCGCTTTTCACACCGGAGATGGATACAATTATATTTCTCATTATCCTGCAAATAATATCTCTGTCACCCCCCCCCCTCCCCTTAATCGGTGACTTTTTCACGCCGCAGGACCAGACTCGGACCATTGTCGATTCTCATTCCTTATCTTGGGGCGATCCTTCAATTCCAAGCGGCTCGGAACATGGGATCCAACCCCTGCCACCTTTACTCATCTTCAATTGTAGAAGGCAGTGTAAATGACGAATTTTTATGTTTCATACTCCGTAAATGTAGCAAGGCTTGTGTCTGCCGAGGTAAGTCTGATTTAGCAAGGCCCTTGGTAGCAACAAATTGATGTGGCTTAGTTGGCCCCAGTTAAATTTTGGCCTCAGTGAGTCGATCCTTTGGTTGTTGCCTTCAGCAGCCTCTCCTGTGCCAATAAAAGGTTAGGGTTGGCCAGATTGCTAAGAACTGCGGGGGGACAGATCATATTCTACAACTCCCTCCAACAGTTCCCTGGGGTTCTTTCTTCTTCTTTGGAATGCTTTGATTTGGCTTATTGGCTTCACGGCCTTGGAAAGGGTTGTCAATGACTCGTTAGCTCAAGTCTGACTTACACAATTTGTTGTAGGCATAGGTCGCTGAGAGCCCCGCGGTAGATACCCATGCCCGTTGTGACATGGATAAGTACGAGGCTGGCTGAACCCTGGGACTTTTGGCCACATGCGACAAGATCTGTGTACAGGAAGATGCCATATGCCCGTGCGTCATGGTTGAGCAATTTCATGTTCAGACTACCGCAAGAAACAGTCTCCTATCTCCGTGCTGAGCCAGGCAGTCCCGATGACAACCTCTCCATAAAGAAACAAGCAAATCTTACAAGCATAAGGTAACTAGATTGCTTGGCTATCATTGCTATAGGCCGCCTCCAAAATTCGGTACCCACCCCACTTGCAGATCTGCCCCAACAACCAACCCATCTTACACAGCATGGTCAAATATTTAGGGGGTGATTGTCTTTTTTTACTTCACTCAATCAATTAATAGTAACATAATGCGCAATCTCATGGTATTTCAGTGAGGTAGCCATCGTTTGAATAATGTGGGACTTACCGGATTAAATCCATATTAAACCTAGGGGATTGATACAGAAACACCCCCGGATGCTGCGACACCCTTTTAGATGCTGCGTCACCCTCCTGCCTCAATTTTTAGTACCGCCTTCCTAATCAGGTGCGACACTAGATTCTGCCATAATTTCTGCCACTACCGTACATGTCGAAAGCTACCTAGGTATGTTACAATAAATGACTGGGAACCGAGTATTCAACACCTCGGAATATACGGAGTACTCCGTACACGGACCGCTGTGATAGTGGGCCCCAGACCGGGGAGTACAAATTGCATATTAAGCTTAGTCATTGTTGTCCGCGCAAATTGTCAAATACGGGACATCTGTTATTTTAGTTAGATAGAGTCATACACATCTGTCATTTATACCATACCTTGCTATATCCGAGATTGCTGTCAATATATATTCAATTTATATAGTAAAAAAATGCATTATAATGAGAAAAAACTTGATATTCGATATTCTGCCTTACTAAGTGCCTTACCTTACTTAGCCTATAGCTTAGTGCCTTAGCTTAGTATTACTTTAGATGGGAAGTGAGGTATGACAGAAGTGACTTAATTTTATATGGGGTTTAAATACAAATTGTGGGTACCTGCTGTCTACTAGGTTATTTACTACAAAGGCGGTATACAAATTTAGAAGGCGGTATAGAGAGCGGTAGACAGAAATAGGAAGCAATCCAGTGTCGCACCCGATTAGGAAGGCGGCACTGAAAATTGAGGCAGGGGGGCGATGCAGCATCTAAAACGGTGTTGCAGCATCCAAAGGGGTGTCGCAGCATCCAAAACGGTGTCGCAGCATCCAAAACGGTGTCGCAGCATCCAAAGGGGTGTCGCAGCATCCAAAGGGGTGTCGCAGCATCTGAGGGTGGCTCTGTATGATTATCAATCCCCTAACCCTACTAGTTTAGGGTCTTTCTGTAGCTCGTTATTAATGCAGAAAGCAGCATCCATCGTAACTAGGCTTACCCGAAGGGGAAGGGTTCTTTTGTTTGCATATACTAGTCCATTAATTGGCACTAGACATACCTAGGTATATATTCCAATGTCGGGAGTAGAGTTTTGGAAATCTCGGAAGTATCTTGGTACTGCAACCTCACTCTCAACTATGTCTTCTCCAACTCCACCGTCATGTTTGCCAACCGCCAATTTCTGGACTGAAACAGAAGATCAAATCCTACGAAGCTCTGTGTTAGATCAAGCAGATAAAGAGACAATCGATTGGCATCGAGTCGCTGCACAACTGACCAGCCGAACAAATAAGGACTGCCGGAAGCGATGGGTCTATTCGCTGTGTCCAACATTAAACAAGGGCACGTGGATGGGGAAGGAGAATGACTTACTTCGTGAGGGGGTACGCATACATGGCACTAGGTAAAAAATCAAACCTCTATCATCAGTTGACTTGAGTTCCTTACTATATCATTCTCATCTAGATGGTCGCTTGTCGCCCGTGTTGTTCAAACAAGAAATCCGGACCGTATGTTTTCGATCGCCAAGATAGCATCTGATCCGGTTAAAAGATTTATATAACATTGGAACTGACACAAACCTAATGCAGAGTGCTCTCGTAGATGGCACGAAGTTGTGAAGCCTTTTGTTGATCGGTCTTCTCGGTGGACACTATACGAGGTGAAGAAACTTGGCTGATATCGAAGGGCAACTTGTGAATGCACTGCTAATACCCAGATACTTGAAATGCAGGATGATATCCTTCGCAAAGCAGTGTATGCCCATGGCCGTCGATGGATTGAAATTGTCGAAAGATACTTCCCGCATCGCAGACCAAACGCAACGCGCAGCCGGTAAGTCTAGCAATGGCTATGTGCCAGCTTCGTCAAAGATCTGAGGCAACTAACACATAATTACGGGAGAAGGTACAGCCAGCTGATTAGACTGGACAACAGACGAGAAGCGGGTCTTCCTTTGCCATCATCATTCATACCTCTAGCGCTTCCATTAACAGCCACAGAACCTCCGAGCTGTGTGAGCTCTTCTTTCGGCCCCCCACTGGTAGAGTAATGATATTATGTTCGCGAAAGACCATGGGGCATTTCTGCGAGCTTTCTCGAATCTCGTGCCATCAGAAGTACGTACATTATCGTGAAGCCGCAGGGGTGAAAGTGAATTTGCCATTTTGGGGAACAGCGATAGAATTCGTTCATTAGTCGCAGATTATTTAGATAGTCCATATTGTTGGACTATCCCATAGACGCTTGTTTGCTAGCAGACTAAGCCTTTCTTCAGATGGTTTTGACCGGGTATATAAACCCGGGATTTGCTAGTTCTAGAAACCATGATTAGTCCTTCTTTGTTCTCTCTCCCTAGCCTGTAGGTAGTAGCCCAAAAACCCCGTTTGATCAAAGATAGCAGTTTCAAAGCTCTATATATTGCCCGATTAGGCTAAGATAGCCTACTTCCGGAGATCATCTCGTTTAGAGATCACTTTTAGCATTTGCCATGCCATATCGTTATGGTATTCTCATAATATGACGCTCCAAGCTTTTCATATATTAATCTTAAATTCACTTAACTACTAAGATGGCAGATCCGGCGGCGTAAAACCCGACCTAAACCCTACTTCCTAGAGTAAACGTCTTTAGCAAATAAAGCATCAGTCTTCTCAAAACAAAGATACATTTCTTGAGTGCAATAGAATGAAAAGACTGTAAATCTTCACCATCCATATCTCTACGCTCCTATGCAGTAGTACTATAGATTCTCCTATCTATCTTTCTTGCTCTCACTTTTCATGATAGGCGAGTACAAAGTCTCAATAAGCTACAATATAGACCGTTAGTATTGTTCTGAATGAAGAGAGTAGGAATAGCTGTGGCTGGTCCAGTCTCAAGTGACGCTTACCCATTCATCCATTTTCCAATCACTTTCGAGGTTTGAAGCCGTGACATCTAATTTTTCTGTGTTTGTTTTTGTTTTCTTAGCAAACCATCACCGACTAGTAATGTGATATGTACACGAGTGCACTGTGAGCCTTACCTGAAGCGACAAATATAACATCAGAAATCCTTTCGTCCTCGCTTATGTCCTGCAGGAATTTTGTCGCCCGCGTGGCTGTACCGACTTGACCAATAACGAACTTGACACCTACGCGTCCAACACAGTTTAACATAGTTTCATATAGGCTAAGTAATGCGACATGAATGGGGCATTGAAACTTACTCTCGCGGGGAAGTCCAGCAGCTTCTAGCTTATCACCACACTCAGCGATGGCATCCACAAACGTCGACTTTGGTTCCGGCTCAGGCATTCCATCAGTGATAACGGAAACAAGAAGCGGTCTTTTGAGGTCATTAGGCAGCTTGCTGTAGACTAAGGGCTCAAGGATCTTGCTCTTCAGGTTCGTGCCTATCGGGGTATCGCCGCCCCAGGTTAATGGCTTGATTACTTCGCCGAGATCCTCGAATGAAAGGCTGTTGGAATTCGGTATCTCCTGATTGATGTAGCGCATGTAAACACCCTCGCCCTCGGGTAGGATTCGAGTGGTCACTCGGGCGATTCTATTGATGAGTTTGTTTTGAGAGTCCCAACGACCTTCGCGTTTCATTGAGCCACTGTCGTCTTATTCACCATGTCAGCACGAGATACATGAGGCTCAGATACTTCAACGTATCCGTTTCTTAATATAGACTTACCACAATACAGCACCTGCTGATGCATAGTAACTTGAGCTGTTTTGGGTAGAAGGTCCTTGCCACAAATGGGCGTGCTCGGGTCATCGGCCAGGGCAGCGGCTTTCGCCGCCAGCTCTTCGATGAACTTCGGATTGTTTTTGAAGAATCGCGCGGCGGGAGTATTTTCGAAAGCTTTCTTGACGTTGGCAACAAACTCGGCGTTGCTTTTTGGCTTGCCATCGGGGTTCACCTCCTGGAAGATTGTTAGCGTAAGGTACTGTACTATGTTAAACTTTTATTGCAATTTACCTGGTCGGTCTCCTCCACAAACTCCGGGTTCAATCCAAATAGCTTCTGGACGACTCCTTTTGCAGTCTTGTTGACCCACGCTAGTGCGTATCCCGTAACGCTGAGTACGTAGTCGACATAGTCCTTGAATTTGTCCATAGTAAGATTGGTTACAACTTGAGACCTTGAAGTATGTTCTTCCGAAATCTGTTTGCAAATCTCTTTGTAGCTGCAACGGAATAGTGGTAGCGACTTCGAGGGCTGGACATTCCTCTATGATAATTGATCAGCTACCTCGAGCTGAGAAATGGATCGTCATAGCAAAAGTACGACCAGCCTGCGGGGACAACAAGCGTCGATAAATGCGGCACATGTGCCAGGGCTGGCACACGACAAACCTATTAAAGTGCGTGGAAAGTGCGTAGAAAGAGCGTTCCAGACCTAAAATGTGCAGCTACCCAAGGCTCCGAAGATTGCACGGATACGATAGTCTTCAGCTGGTAGTTACACCACCAGATGATGTTTGCGGCGGGAGAACATGCTGAAAGTGATCCTCATTTTGGAGTGATGGGGAAGAATTCCAGGTATCTCCGCTGGTTACATGCACAAGTTCTAATTTGGAACGGTTCGCTACCCAAAGTGAGATCGAGACTTTCGAAGTACACGAGTACTATACGAGTATCTTTGGTTGCCCGGCTGCATCCTTGTTGGCCGGCTCGCTGCCAAGTTAATGGCGGGGAAACCGATCTTTCAAAGAGAGAAATTTGCCGATGAGGGGTAGCCTGCAGAGAGCTCTTATCACATTAAGTGCATGCGTACTCAGAGGTCATAAGCGACCGCCACACTGCCTAGTAGAGTCAATAGAGGCGATAATCATCGCTTGGCCCTTTATTGCAACCTGCGATGCAAGACACGCGGCATGCAAGTGATCAAACTAGGGCGCGGACGAACCTTGGAATGCATTGCCGACTCAAGAGCTGATAGGTCGATGCTATGCACATCAATAGTTCGCCATGTCATGAACGAACGTAACATCCGCAACCCTAATGACGGCTAAAACTCCTGGGAAATTTTCCCCACTTCTCATCACATTTAGATAAGACTACGGGGTATGTACCTCTAAGTCCAAAGGGTTTCATCACTTGGGTACTTTGTCCGGTTTGAATTTGCAAACTTTTGTTGAAATCACAAGACATCAAATTCCTCAACTGTCTAACAGCTACAATGGATGTTGCAATAGCTGCCTTCACCACGGCCAAAGTCCCCATAGTGCAACTAAATGACGACAATTATAGAGAGTACGAAAAGGCTGTCGTGACGTCAAACCTTCTCTTTCGCTTCACAAGGCCTCCTGTTGTCGTTCAGCCTGAAACCGCTGCTCATGTGCAGTCCGTCATCAAGCAAGTCAAGGCGCAAAAGCTCCTATTGACTATCAGATGCGGGGGTCATTCTTACGCGGGGTTCTCTACAGCCCTGGAGAAGAACAACATCTTGGTGGACCTTCGAAAGATGAACAAAGTCAGACTTAATGTCAAAGAAGATACCATCACTATTGATGCCGGCTGCCAATGGGGTGAAGTTTATCGAACCCTCATCAATGGAGACCACAACGGGTTCATTATCAATGGCGGTCGTTGCCCTTATGTGGGAGTCGGCGGTTTCATCTTGGGTTCCGGTCTGGGTCCCTTCACTAGGACATTTGGGATGGGAAGCGACACTCTCTTGGAAGCGACTCTTGTGACCGCAGACGGGAACCTTGTAACTGTTGGGAAAAGCGATGACCCCAAAAGTGACAAAGGAAGGCTCTTCTGGGCTCTCCAGGGGGCTGGGCAGGCCAACTTTGGAGTTGTAACGCAAATGAAACTCAAGATCCAGCATCTCAACAGCAAAAATGGATGGGTAGTTGGTGGGCGATTCCTATGGTTCCCGGGAGAAAAGGATATGGGCACCCTGCTACCCACAATGAACGAGTTTTACAAGGTTGATTGGCCCAAAGAAATGACCATCGACAGTACGTGGATATGTGACCTGCGACAGAAACCAGGCGGCGATGGAGTACGATTCACCGTCTATTACGATGGAAGCAAGGAAGACTATGACGCCCTCATTAAAAAGCACATAAAAAATGAAACTGTGCAAAAGCAACTCATTAAACGAGCTCTGCCAGAGCCCTCGACGCGATTCCTCTACGAGACGCTTGAGGAACAATGGTTCGACGAGAGCAAGAAGTTCTTCGCGGAAAACAAGACGTACAGAGTCTTTACCTCCTTCGTTTTCACGAGAAAGGAAATCGACAAGAATGTCGAAGAAATCACCCGCATCCTCAAAGGAGAGATGGAAACTTTCCGGGCTTTATATCCAGAAGAATCCGTCAACTTGGACATTGTCTGGATTCACACCGGAGGCCACGCATCTACAGTATCAAAGCCCACAGAAACAGCTTTCTTCTGGCGCGAAGCTCTCTACCACACCTACGTCGAGGTGCTGTGGCAGGATAAATGGATGGAGTTGAACATGCGAGGGTTCATGAGTAGATTGCGAAAGAAGTTACGGCCGTTTTCTTTGAACAAGGCTGCAGCTTTCCTCAATTTCCCGGATCGAGACTTGGTGCAAGCCGGCTACGAGAGGGCTTACTTCGGAGACAACCGTCAAGAGTTACGGCGCATCAAGGAGATTTGGGATAAGGATAATCTCTTCAAATGGGCGCAGGGTATTCAGCTTCCAAAGGATGCTGTCGACGACGAATCAGCCGATGTGGATCCCGATGATGCCCGAGATCAGACTGATCAAATTGCACAAGATCTATGGGATAAGAGAAACTGGCAACACAAGGTGGTGAGGGATATTGGTGCGGCAGGGAAGAAGCTTGAGGCAATGGGTTTCTGAAGTAAATTCTTTTCTTTACGAACTGCATGTGGCATCACGAATTCAGGACTTAACTTGAATCATCATTTTTGTCATTGAACTATTGTATATATTCAAATTATCAATCGAAGAGGCCTTAAACCAAGGTCCACTTCTATCAGCGCGAGGGTTCCGGAAGGAATGAAGGATAGCGAATAAATAACATATATATTCGCACTCTGTGAATATGAATAAATGATTTTTTTATCTACGCGAATAAACGCATTGTTCATATTCGAATTTATATCATTCATATTAAGAGATTTCTCTATATTAATACAATAGAATGTCCCCCACGCGTGGTGATTTCTAGCGTTAGGTGCAAGATTAGCCATAAGGGGCGTTACTTTGCACCGGTCGACAGCAACATCCGGTCTATAACGTTGGCCAACTTGGAAAAACTCTACCAAGGGTTCCTGAACGAGGGCTGCGAGCTATCAGACTATCCTAGGCTTCCTCAGCTCATCTTCAGTCCAACCAATAAGTCTTTCAAAGCCAGATTCAAGTTGCTCAAAGTGGCCCAGCAATCGTTGTTGAATGAGGCTTCTCCCGAACAGAAGGGAAAAGCTCAGCCTGATGAGGGCCCTAGTACCAAACGCCGGAAAGCATAGCTCGGAATGTGGTCGGAACCTCGAATAGAGCGGCTGGTGGGTTTTAGGTGGTGTGTATTTGTGAAATAAAAGTATTCTTAATAATTGGAGTAGAGGCCTAAGGCTCAAGATAAATTCAACTAGTATACTTAACCTCTATCAAATCCAGGACATATGAAATTTAGCCAATATACCAAACTTTTACAGCTCCATAGTAGGGCTTCTCTGATGTGTTTAAAACCCCCCGGCCGAGGCTTTGGATTAGTCATTATACACGTGACCAAACTGAAATAATTATGCCGACTAAGCCCATGCTGACACATCCTCGTAAAGCAGCCCAGATAGGAAAGGTGCCACCCGGACATTATCCCGTCCATATAGGTGCATATTGTATGAATATACGAACATCGTTCGACTATTTGGGAAAATAAAAATAGACCGCTCTGATCTGCTTGTTAATAAACAAATAGAGCTCCTTCTACAGAACTTCACTTTTCAACACGCTCAATTATTACCCAACCAAATGAAAGTGGCGGAAAACAACAAACGATGGCGATAGTCTGAAAGCCCAAATCAATTGTTCTTTTCACATCCCTGTTAATCACTCTTTCGCTTTCAATATGCTCTCCGAGCTCCCATCCGAGATCATATATCATATCGCGACATATCTCCCGACTGCCAATTCATTGGCCCATTTATCCCAGACATGTCACCGACTGCACGGCATTATCACAGCTGAAAATTCTCGGATCTTCCGAGCCTTTGTGCGAAGCAGATTTCCATCTATCGAAACACCACCGTTCTGGAAAGATGCAGCACAAGCTTTGACCTCCAGGTCCCGGGCCTTGGACAGAAAAGCTATTATTGGACGATTTGTTGTGCCACCTGAAAATACGACCAAAATTGGTTCTCACGAGGTGAATCGCCAAGACAACCCGACTCTCGGGTACAGACCTGCAATTGATTCTTACGAGATCTGGAATGGCCAGTCTTGGGCTGATAGGAAAGAAGTTCTTGCCTGGGGTGCTGCCAACCAGCTTGTGATGAGGATTAAGCAAACCGGTGCTCGCTCGAAAGAAGACTGGCTTGTGTTTAATGATGTTGATCATATTAGTAGCTATGATGATATTTGTTCTCTACATCTTTTGTCTTCGGAAAGTCATTACAGCAATGATACCAACGTGGAGCATCTGATCTTTGGTCGGGTTCGAGGTGATATTGCTCACCTTGCCATCTCTCCCAATGAAGCAACCTTTGAATACAAGCAGAAGTTCTTGGCACATGGTCTCAGACTCGATAGAACAGATTTGAGCATTGATACAACCTCTACTTTGGCTGCTCATTTTGAAAATGGATCAATCGCTTTCTACCATACCGAGACCGACAAGGAAGAGATCGAGCCATTTACATGGCTTCTCCCGGAAGGCTCCTCACGAATCAACTACTCCAAATTGCTATCCTCTTCATTAGTGGCAGTGGGAACCGGAAATGTGGAAAACTCCTTGTCCATCTCGAAGATCACACCAGACGGTGTCTCCGCATATCGAAATATCGGAATCGGCTCTTTAGACACAGACTCTACAAGCCTCAAATCAAAAGTCAATATTAGCGCCATTGAACCCCTCAATAAACACAATCTAGCAGGCTCGCCGGGCGAAGTCTTCCTAACCGCCTGGGACGATTACACTGTCCGACTCCACGACCTGCGCTCCCCAAGGCCTTACGAAGTCTCCTACAAAGACGCCACAGACCTCAACCCCATCTACAGCCTCCACGCCTTTGGCCACGAGAGCTTCCTAGCCGGAGCCGGCGGCGAAGCCGTGGTCAAGATCTTTGACCTGCGCATGTGTAACACGTACAGTTACCTGGACGCACAAGTCCCCAACTCGCAATCGCAGAGCACACCAACGACAACGAAGACCAAAGCGAACAGCACACTCAGGACAAAAGCAAACCCCCATCCTAAAAAGGGCTTCTCCATATTCCTCTCCTACCCACCACCCCCGACATTCCCCCAACAAACCCCAGCCCCAGCCCGCACCCGCCAAAGAGGTCCCTACCGCGGCCCTATCTATACAATGTCGTCGCCCTCGCCCTCCTCCCCAACTGTCTACACGGGTATCGTGGATGGGGTCGTTCAGCTTGACTTTGCGTCTACGGATGACCTAACTGGTCCGCACGAAGAATGGTACGAATATAATCTGGACCTAGGCGTTAACACGGGTCCGGAGGTTTCACCGCGCTGGAACGCCGAGTCGTTCAATTTGGCTGGGTATGAGCGCCCGGATGATGATGACTTCGCTACTACGTCTAAGCTGAGGAATCAGCGTGCATTTGCGGATCTTGGGCCTGGGGATGTGGCAGAGGCGCATACAAATTGGGATTGTAGATGGGAGACTTTGGAGGAACCTGGGGCTTGGAGAAGACAGGATGGGTAGGTTGTGGATTTTTGATTTTGTATTTTTTGATAGAGATTGATAGAACTAGAAGGGTTTGTTTGTGTTGGTAGGTTACGTCTCTTTCCTACTTCACGGAGGATTGCAAATACTTCGAGAGTTCATCGAGAACGGATCCCAAACTTTTGATTGATGTAAGCTAATGAGCAAAAAAAAAATCTATTGCAAATGTTGGGTCCAACGACCTTGTCCATAGCTCCGTGTACGCCATGCTGAGTGAAATTGGTAAAGTATGATGCGGGATATGAGAGCCCAATCTCTCCATATTCATCCATTGCAACGAACCTAGGTTGTACTGCAAAGATTGCAGCGACAAAAAGACAGCGATTCTCCCTCCAGCAAAGCGACATCCAAGACAAAAAGCCCAGTCTCGGGGGTCCTTTGTGGGTTTGGTGGCAAATTTTGTGATTAGATGCTGACGATAGCCTAGTATTATGGACTAGCAAATACGGTTGTGTCGCAAAAAAGTCGTCGTCATTTAATCCTCAAACTTGTAGGAAGTGGTGCCGGGGGCAATGTCGATAGGACCGCCGCGGTAAGAGCCACGCTTCTTCTTGTTCTTCTCCTTGGTGAAGCCCTTGCCGCGAGTCACGGACAGGTCTTTCCAGGCGCGGTCTGCGTAGGCGTACGACATGTAGTCGTTGGAGGGGTGGTCATGGGGCAACTCGCTCAGGAGAGCCAGAGGAGTGGGGCGAGCTCCGGTGTGCTTCTTCTTAACAGGTCCGTTTCCATGAGCGGGGCTGGCGCTCGAGGAGGAGGTCTTCACAGCCTCCTCGACCTTCTTGACGGGCTTGATCTCGGTCTCCGGGGTAGGCGCGACGGTGTTGCTGCCGGATGAGGAAGATTCGGAGTCAGAAGAGGAGTCGGACTCGGGGAGAGGAGTCTTCTTTGCCTTCTTCAGGGCCTTCTTGGATTCCTTCTCGGACTCGGACTCGGACTCGGACTCGGAAGAAGAGTCGGAGGAGGAAGAGTCGGAAGAAGAGTCAGAAGAAGAGTCAGACGAGGAATCGGAGGAGGAATCGGACGAGGAAGACGAAGAAGAGCTCGACGAGGAATCGGAGTCTGAGCTGGAAGAATCCGAGGACGAGGACGAAGAGTCGGATGAGGACGATGCCTCCTTGGGGGTGGGGGAGGTCTTGGCCTTCTTAGCCTTAGGGCTGTCATCTTCGGACGAAGAGGAGTCGGAGTCGGAGGAGCTGCTAGACTCGCTGCTGGACTCGGCCTTGCGCTTCACACCGGCAGACTTCTTGACCTGGGCGGGGGCGGGGGTAGGAGCCGCAGGGGACTTATCATCGTCCTCATCATCCGCATCGCTGTCAGAGCTGGAAGAGGAAGACGAAGGAGAGGACGAGCGAGCAGCGTCGCCCATCTCAACATCCGAGTCACTATCGGAGCCGCTGCTTGAGCTGGAGGAAGAGCTGTTGCTAGCAGACTTCTTCACGCTAGATCCCTGCTCAGAGGCTTGGAAGAGCTCCAAGAGAGAGGGGACATTTTTCGCATCACTCTTCTTGCCCGACTTTGCTTCCTTGGTGAAGGCGGTGCTGGTCTCTGGGAAATTTTCCGACAAGAAAGCTGCGACTGAGGCGATCAGCTGAGGGGGGATGGACTTCGTGGTCTTGGAAGACTCGGTCTAATTAGGGCATTGTTAGTTTGATCCTCATTCTGGTCTATTTGTAGATCATGCCAATTTGACATGTCAATTGAAAGTAGATGAAGCGAACCTTCTTGACCGAAGTCTTCTTGCTGGAAACCTTTGCCATATTTACTGAACGGTTCGTTTCGACGATAGCGAAAGGAAGAGAACCCGGGGCAAGGAGAGACTATTTAGAAATAATCTGCCAGGAACCAAAAAAAGAAAGGGAGAAAAAAAAAAGTATATAAAAGGCGGTAGGCTATTATTTGACGGTGATTGGCGGAGGTTGATGAGAGTTGATTAGCGGAGAGAGGCGGTGATTGGCACGCGGCTCTTCCGGCATTATTTATGTTCTGTCATCTGATTGGCCTTCATTCTTCACCGCCCATCCTGCCCAGATGGCATCGATCCTCAACCCAGTCTCAACTCTCCGGTACCTTTCTCATCTTTCCAAGGTTGTTATGCCGCCACACGTGTGCCTTGTTCTGCACTAAACAAGCAAAGCAAAACAAAATACCAACCGATTATTCAAATAATACTGGTTCTTCGGGACCAGAATTACACAGACAAACTACGTAGGATTTCTCTATTTAAATGTAGATCACATGCATATTTCTGAAGTGAACCACCCATCCACATTTTATCCTGAAGACAGATATCACTGGCGTTTTCGAAGGTCTATGCAAGAATATTTAGGCCGAGTTATAGTCCAAGCATGCTGTATTCTTTAGCCAGCTCTGCAATTTCTCCAAAGCTTTGCATCTCTCAGAAACCGTATTCTGTTTGTTGAAATTAGTGGCTAGTTGATTCGCAAGATGTTTGTATGGATCAACTCACCTTGTATGCAAAACTCATTTCTGCATAGGTTTGACCTTCGACTTCAAATATGGGATCAAAACCTGAAGAAATGTCAGGCTTGTTCTCTCCAGAGATCTGCAATAGGCGATTGGAAAACATACCAAACCCACCTTCTCCTCTTTTATCAACAATCTTGCCTTCAGTACATCCCTGGAAAAGATGAGGCTCAGACCCTGGGCCGGCGGAGAAGGCAAATGTGCACACGGCCGTGGCTGCTTTGTCGTCATAAGCTGCGAGTAGTTTGCATAGGCCATCATCGCCCAGAGCAGAGTAGAACCATTTTCTGGCAGGTATCAGAGAAGATGAATAACAACGATTGATATCGGACATACATATATGGCCCAGGTAAACCTTTGAGAGCCCTGAATTCAAGAGCACTATCCTCTGTCAAGACAGGGCCGTTGACCTATAAAACAAACTATATTTAGCCTCATGATGCTCTGGTAGCAGGGAAAACTTCAAATTGGCATACTGCTATAGCTGCTTTTCGACACTTGTCTCGCGCAATTTCTTCCAGAGAGCCCTGGATTTCAAGGATCTCTACGTTTTGATTTGAAAGCTGTACCGTATCACCTAGGATGGCTCTAGTTTCAGCAAGCTTGTTCTTGTTCCCAGTAATGAAGTTGATCGTGGTGGAGGACATTATGGGCCAGGGAAAGCGAACCCAGTTCATATGATATATGTAGTGACTTGAAAATATGGTACATTGGCAGTTTCTACCCCTATATAAACTGATAGCGTCCAGGCACCAGGACTGGAGCCTGGATCTAGAGTCCAAACAGGCATGGGGATGACTAATGTTATGCTGGCAATTAAAAGCCAATAGGATCGAAGTCAAGGATATCGCCATGCACTACGATTACACCTTAGTATGTCAGTACACCAAAAAGCAAGTTAGATAGTGGGACTCCAGTGGGCCACTGTCATGAAAAACATGCGCTCAGTTCAATGTTAACCTTTGACATTCCGCACGTTCGTTTACAGCCAACCCCGGATCAATTCGATACTCCGCTCCAAGCTCTCCGCCTTCCAACCTTAGGTTCCGCCGAATCACATTGATGAGCTAATTCGAACTTCAGCGCTGGCCACTTGCATTACTTTGGGCCACAACGTCTATTGCTTTATACCTTGTCATATTCCGCGGGCTCGCAAACGCATTGTCGCTCAACGTATTTCAATTCCTTCCGCGCGTGGTGCGTAGTAGCGTTGCCCGATCCCGACCCTCCCGACCATGTCCCCTTGATCTCGCAGCTACCCACACGTGAGATCTGCGTCCCTCGATACCATAATGAATGGCAGAGACCGCCCCCGCGGGCCTCCGCCAGGGCCGCTTCCAAACCGTGGAGATATGCAGTCTGATTCGGGCTCTAGCCCAAGCACAATGACAAGAGGGGCCGCTTTTGAGGATGAGAAGAAGCGTATCATTCATAGTTGTTTCGCGAAAAAGGATGAAGATGGTCTCTGTACGTACATGACCAACGTATTCCCCACCTTTGCCCTCCCACCCAAGCTCAGTCAATAGTTGTGTGCTTTACAACACGTTGCGAAAGTGACGTACAGCGCCTAGATCGCAACGCATTGCCTCGTTGAAATGTTATCTTGCCCGCGATCTCTGCTAACCCGTCTTTTTAATTCCAGTGCTCGAATCCTATATAACCCACGTCCGCATCACTGAGGATTCAGCGCACCCCTCCAGCCCTTCCCCGCCAAACGGGCCACCAGAGAACAAGAAACCCCGTATCATCATCATATCCGTTCGAAAGTCAGGTAGAGTCCGCATACACAAGGCTCGAGAGAACAATGAGGGGACTTACTCCATCGGCAAAACTTGGATGCTCGACGATTTAAGCGCAATTCAATCATTCGCCTCTTTTGTTCCGAGAACACCAGGAGAGCAGCAACAAAAGGAATGGGCGGGAAATGTAGGATTCACGGTTACAATTGGGAAGCCATACTACTGGCATGCTAGAACTTCTAAGGAAAAGGAGTTCTTCATTGGGAGCTTGGTCAAGATCTACAGGAAATACACTAATGGCAAAATCCCCAACCTCATTGGTTTTGACGACAAGGAGCGACAAATGCTGGCAAGGCATGGACAATCGGCACAACCAGGACAGCCGGCGCAACCAGCGCAACCAGGTGGTCCTTCAAATGGTCCACCACCAAGGGGACAGCCAGTACCACCAGGACAACCAGGCGGTCCTTCAAATGGTCCACCACCAAGAGGACAGCCAACACAACCAGGCGGTTCCTCAAATGCTCCACCGACAAGGCCCCCCCCCCCAGTTCCTTCAACATCGGATAGCCCTGTGCCTGCATCGTTACAGCCTTCCTACAGAGGTCGTGATCCCAGTCGCGATGCGCCTCGGGAAGTCAAGAGGAAGCCTTCCGAAGAGCCCACACTTCGCACTCAAAAGAGCCATGAGCAGATGTCCCGGCCGTCAACTAGTTCTCGGCCATCTACAGGACAAGGCAGACCGGCGCCATCTCCCTTTGATCTACATAAATCCCCTCCTCCGTCGCTCCTTTCTGGGCCACCGCTGGAACAGCAACCGCCGCCACGCGCAGCCGAGCGTAGCGCAGTAAACGCAAAACCCCCGAGTTCACAATTAGAGCCGAGGGGAACAGATAATCTGACTGCTGCAACACAAGCCAGCGGCTATGGCGGTATTCCAGAGTCACTCCGCCCATCTTCTGCCCCCAAACCCCCACCTCTAGCTACCCAGCAAGCCCCGAACAAGGCACCGGAATTCATGCGCAGCAACGATGCGCTTCGTCCTACCACTTCTGGTTCTTCCAATAACGAAGGTAGGGACACAGCCCCACGTCCCACACCCAGCTTTGGGCCAAAGTCGCCCCAACGTGGCGGCGGGGAGAAGGCATTCACGTTTAATCAGCCCTCTCTGCCTCAAGAGAAAAGTGTACCAGATAGCTTGTTAGCTGGAGCTTCCGCACAGCCCCGGGAACCGTCTTCATCACCAGCAATTGAGGGACTGGCTTCAGAGCCTGCTGCTATTATGGCTGTCAATCTGCCCTCTCCAGAGCCTATTCAGCCTTCCAATGAGAAGCCCAAAACTCCTATCGAACCTGTTCCTACTGCGGAGCCCTCATCTAAAGCTGCCCCAGAGCAGGTTGAAGAATCCGGCGAATTTGAGCCGCATCGCCCGGGGCTGGGCCCTATGGTGAAGAAAAAGGAAGTCAAAGATATTGCAGGCGCCTGGAAAAAGGCTGCAACTGCTTATGCTGGTTTCAAGCCCAGAGTTGGTGGGGCTGGTGAGCGACTGCTGGCAGCCGCGAAGAAGTCACAGGCCGAGCTCGCGGGCCCTGATGGCATCACCAGCGTTGTTCCGGCGCCGTCCCTTTCCCGGTCGTTAACTGATCCGCCGCAGAGTCCAGTGGCAACAAAGTCGGAACAAGAACTACAACTCCCCGCACCCGCACCCGCGCCCGCGCCTGCGCCTGCGCCTGCGCCCGTGCCCGTGCCCGCTGCAGAGTCGGAGACACCAACTGTCGAGATTACGGAGCCAGCACCCGAGGAGATCGCGGTTGCACCTGTCCCAACTCCCGAGGTCTCACGGGAGAACCTCTCTGATGTTGTTATAAAGGTTGAAGATCGTTCAAGATCACCATCCCCGGCAACTCAAGGACGTCGTCGCAGGCGCCGTGAAGACCACACTATGAAATATTGCCAGGCCCTTGGGATTAATCCTAGCATTCTCGACGGACGTGGTATTGACTTTGATGAAATTCTCACGGATCTGGGCTGGAACGGACGGTTGGCCGATGAACAGAAGATTGAGGATTTGGAAGCAGATGTTCGCCGTGAAATTGGCCGTGTCGAGGCCACCAGTTGGCTTGGCAACCTGGAACAACAGGAAGGAAAGGTGGAACAACTTGCGAGCTTGATCGATAGGACGATTGAAGAGTGTGATGAGCTAGATGGTCTTTTAACCCTTTATTCTCATGAACTGAACGTAAGTTTTGGAAGAACAGAATCGGAGTCGGGATTGATCAGTCGGCTAACGAGACTACGTTGCAGACTCTTCACGAGGATGTCGCCTATATTGAAGCTCAAGGTCAAGGTCTGCAGGTACAAACAGCAAATCAGAAGCTTCTGCAAAATGAGCTGCAAACCCTTCTAAAGACGCTTTCAATATCTTCATCCGAGCTAGGACCGCTCAAGGAGGCCTCTTTGAGCAACCCCGATGGATTGAAGGATACTGAAAGCGCTCTGTCGACGTTGTACAAAGCCATGCTCACGATCGATTCTGATATTGGACAAAACAAGAAGCGTCAAGTCGATGCAAGTGTCGGTGTCTATGCTGATACAGAAATTGGCCAGATGCGTGCGATCAAGGAAAAGAAGGAAGAGTATCGCTCTACTGCAACCATGTTCCTTAACCGACTGCAGCAGTTCATGGCCCTTGCCTTTAAAATGGCAGAACAAAAACGCGTTGATTGGGCCAATGGTGGTGCCAAGGATGCGATGAAATTGGACAGTGCTGCCCGAGGGCACTTCCGTCAAGAGGTCTGGCGGTATAATCCCCTGATGCTATTTGCCAAGGAGGTTAGCATGGCAGAATGGCGTAGCCTTGTCGGCCTCTATGAACAGCAGTCCAAGTCTTCTTACCAGGGCGACTTCCGCGACAATAATCTGGCTTGGAAGCAGACCGCGCACAAACCAACGGGAGATGAGCAGGAACTCCTCTTCACGCACCAAGAGAAGGAAAAAGAGACTGAGGGTCTCACCATGGCTGCACGGAAACTGACTGTGCGACGAGGCAAGACGGTGCGGGCTGCCGCTGGGCTTCGATTGGCTTCCGGTGGCCAGAAGAAGCAAGGAAAGGCTGAGCCATCTGAGGCATTCGCTGGGACTCTGCGGGAGACACTGAAAATGATGGCTCAGGAGCAGAACTTCATCATCCAGTTCTTCCATCTCAATTCTCTTGCCAGCGCCGATTTCCCCGACTTGGTTTCAGCGGCCATTCCCGAAAACCGCACTTGTCCCGATTTCTCTGCCAACCAGCCGCATGATCCTGATCGGGGAATGGCAAAGAGAGTCGAGCAGATCATGGATGAAGTCTACTCATTCTGGCCGAATGACATGCAGAGCTTGGTGGACTGGGCAATGCAGGCTGATCCTCTCCAAGGAATTGGTATCCTCCATGCCTTGGAGACCGCCATGAATGACTTTGATGACACGAATCAAGAGTTCATTCTTCATGCATTGCAGAAAATTCATTCCCGCCTCATGGGACTGTTCAACCGATTTGTAGATGAGCAAATCCGAGGCATTGAGGACACCAAGGTCAAGGTGAACAAGCGGAAGGGAGTGATTTCCTTCATGCGGGTGTTCCCCAACTTCTCCAATGCGGTGGAAAGCTTGCTGTCATCCCCGTCCGGCTCCTTCTGTGATATTCGCGTCAGTGTTAATGACGCGTACGACCGCATCAACCGTGCGATGTGGGAGTCACTCAAATTCATTGCCAAGGAAGCACCCGGCCAACCTCCGGGTGCCACTGCGGGTGCTGGAGATCCTGAAGACAAGGAGATCCTGAACTACCACATCCTTCTCATTGAGAACATGAACCACTACATCGAGGAAGTAGATGTGCACAACATCCCCGCACTTGAACGCTGGACAGACCGGGCCCACCAAGACTTCCAGGAGCACATGAAGCTTTACCTCGACGCGGTCATTCACCGCCCACTAGGCAAACTGATTGATTTCGTGCAGTCAATTGACAGCCTCCTCGCTGCAGGCGGTAACCCCACCGACATCGCAGCCCGCGCCAGCCACTCCCGCGTGGTGGCTAAGAAGGTTATGACTTCCTATGACAACAAGGAAATCCGCCGTGGCATCGAAATGCTCAAGAAGCGTGTCGAGAAGCACTTTGGTGATGCCGATGACCCTGGTCTTAGTCGCAGTCTTGTTCTCAAGGTGCTCCGGGAGTGCGAGAACCGTTATGAGACTACTTATGACCGCACCCGGCAGATTATCGAAGATGTCTATGAGGGTCAATTGGATCTGGACTGGCGCAAGGAAGAGACCCTTAGCATGTTCCGGAAATGATATGTACTTTGTATTGACATTTAATTCTATTCCCCTTTGTTTTGTTCTTGTTTTTTCTCTTCACGTTTCAAGTTCGTAAGAGATGCCATCTTCAGGGAGGTCTGAAAGACTGCCCGAGTCAGCGATGCTTTAGTGAATTGGATCCGAGAAGCGTAAGGCCTAGACCATTCTTTTCTTCGTAGACAGTCTTCGCGTCAGATATCTCATACATTGTGGGCGAGGTGCATAAAATAATCAACAAGACTGGCACATGCTCCCTGAAACCTGGACGCTTTTGTTGATCTCCTGCGTACTCTGAGGAACGTCCAACGCAGGGTTATACTCGAAGAAATCTGCCGGCTTCAAAGAAACCGAGAGGGTTTCGACCCCCATGACCGGAAACTGTTCGGGGGTGGCGGAATGCGTCATTCCAAGTGTGTGCCAGATGACAATATCCTCGTCCTTCACATTCTCATTCCGCGCAGCGTAGTCAAAGACCCCGTCTGTCTCCCTCACGCTCTGCTCGGTCCACTTTCCTCCCGCCCACAAATCCCCATCTCGATACTTTGTCACCCAGATATGGTGCTCAGCAAAGCGCGCACGCTGGCGGGTTATCGAGTTCTTTCCGGCAAGAAGCATCTGTGACGGGAGAGGAGCCAGTTTGTATCCTACCGGGTTACCCGAAACGCGATTGGTACGACTCTCATTGATGATTTTGAATACGCGGTTCTTCTCCGGTGCCGCGTCGGCAAAAGTGGACTTTTCAAATATGCTCTTCTCCACCTTCCAAGCGTTTCCAAAGGGATTCTCATCGTCCGTCTCCGGAAGAGCCACGCAGTCTTCCTGCACTAGGGTATTTCGCACTCCATCGATCATTGGATCGATGCGCAGGCAGAACAGATGCTGGTGGTTCTGAGCCAGAACGCCCGGCGCAACCACATTACCCCAGGGACTGTGCTTGCCATCGTCGATGAGCGCTGTCGACACAATTCCCGTGGCGCGGGTTTCGAACTGCACAGTCCCGTTCTGGTGAAATATCCACGCGAAGATGTACTCGTAATTCATGAGGGTGAGGATGTTCTGCAGAATCAGAGTCCGTCCCCGCGTGATGGATGCCACTCCGGTCCGTCGATTGCTGTGCTTCCACCCGATCCCGGAGTCTTGCTCATGCATGCAGATTGCGTTACGGGACTCCTCGGGCTCACCGTTCTCATCCGCCAACCATCCGTTGAAGTAGTGGATCAGACCTAGGCAGTCACACCCAAGACCGAGGACATTTGAACACGCTCCTGCGCCTGCGTCACCGATATCAAATGCTTGCTTCCTGTGGTATGGGGCTCGTGGATCTACAGGCAATTAGATTAGATTAAGCACGGGGATTGTATTGAAATGCCCATGTGCATATGGGAAGAAACTCACCTCCATAGGGCACAGTCATCTCACTCATGCTGAGCCGATAGAAAGTTTTTCTCCCATCATAGCGAACGTCGTGGATAGTCAGCCCTTCGCGGTAGTGAAACCCAACCCGAAATCGCCACTTCTGCCATTGTACCAGATTCCCATCAGATACAGTAAAGCTTGGACCTTCCGGTTGGACAACATGTAATGGCTTGAGATCTGTCCTCACGGGCAAATCGAGCAAGTCCGGATGATACTCTTTGGCCCGACAGTGGGCGAGTGGTGCGTCGGGCGCGGTATTGTGCTTGAGACCATCCTCGGTACCACCCGTAGCCAGGGTGTCGATTCGAACGATCTTATTCTCACCGACATCAAGAACAGGAGATATAGGTAGCGGGAAGGCATACTGGTTGGCTTCCAGATGGGATGAAGTGCAAGCGTATAGAAACGCCTGGATCTGGGCGCGCGTGTCGATGTCGGAGAACTTATCCGCACCGTATGACCATGGGTCACAGTATATTTTGGCATTGGCGGGGAGCTTTAACTTGGCAATGGCTTCCACGACGGAGGGGTCGTTGAGAATCGTCTTGATGAACTGTCGCGGTTGGCCGCTAGCAACGTTGAGTTAGTATCTATCACCTGAGAATATTGGGTTGTCTGCGTCTTAGCTTACCCGTCGGTAGGAGCCTGTTGCCCGGCAAGTAGCTTGACCACGTCCACCTCGGTCTCACTGTCCAGGCTCACAATGCTCTCAAAGGCCTCCCCGGTGTTCTCGTCTGTATATAATGCTGCAACTAGCCGTGGCACGAACGGCCTCGAGTCCACTGGGACACCATCGCTTTCTGCATCTAGATATGGCATCAACAGGGCCTTGGGAGGCTCATGGAGTGTGATGTATTTAAATCTGATCGACTTTAGGCTACCTCGAGCCTTTGCGCAGCCTTGCACAACGGCCGTTGCTCGGCGGATCTCCGAAGCTGTGACATTCTGAAGAGGGTGCTGTCTAGACATCTTGTCAGGTCTCTTGACTGTAGGTGAAATTTGGTGTTGGAGTAGATTGCCATGGCTTGCTTTTAATGTGTGGGTTAAAATAATAGTATGCAACCCTTAGCGCGTAGCTGAAATATAGTAAATGCGATATTGCCATTTTACCAGTCCACTCCCTCCCAGAGTGGGTCTGTCCCAAAAACAGAAATTGTAAGAATTCGGTATCTTTTGTATAGTAAGTTCATACGTAAGAGATGCATGTGATTGGGAGCTAGTCGGGAAATATGCAGCCAAGCCTGCACATCGTACCTGGACGTCGTACCTGGCAGTGTTTTATACTTTTTTTTGTCGGCAGAAGGCTAATAACTCACCTCGACCAATACAATATAGAGCCTTATAAATGACCTGAGAGCCTGAAATCACTTCTTAACTAAGAAATATTGATGTAGCCAAAGGCAGAAGCTCTATCAATTCTTATTTGCATCCATGGAGGGATTTCTACAGATCTCAATCAAGCGACGACTGGGGCACTAAGTGACAGGTAGAGGTGTGACATGATCATTGAGTCAAAAATTTGAAAATGTCCAAGTCGAGCCGGGCGCATAGGGTGGCAGATATCTAGTCGACGCCATGCATTACTTGTCTATTTCAAAGTTACTATAATGCTGAAAGTACGGCATTTATCACTTCCAGGACTACTGTGGTCGCTCAACAATCGTCAAAGTTTCATCTTTTTCGAGTCTCCGGTACCTGCCTGTACAGAAGTACTACATGTATGTATGTAAGAAGCGGTGTACAGAAATCTTTTGGAAATACTGAATAAAGATGGTATTTTACATCTTTTTGTGGGTGTGTTCTATGACGACTCATCACAAGGCCCAATTCTAAATTTCAGAGAAGGGAAATTAACAGTATGATCGATGTTTCATCTAAATCGTAGAGTATGGTTACTAGCAGGCTCTGGCTAAGTGGCCCCAAATCAGCCCAAATCAGCATGTAACAAAGAACATGAGGGGTTTGACCAAGGGCGTACGTTGTAATTAAGGAGACTTCCAAGGTAATCTCCACCCCATCCATATCAAATACTAAAAGACTGAACACATCCACGATGCGCCCTGGGATATGGCGCAAATGCGAGCTGGACTAGCACGCCATATTCCCAGACCAGAGTATTGACCGTTAATGACGAAATACGTACCAACCAGACGCACCTGCTTGCTCTCGCAGCCATCCCCTGAAACCACATCATAGAGTGGTTGCGGAACACTCCGCTGAACAATGTACGAGGTGTGATCCGGAGAGATCGTTGCACACCGACAATCATTTATCCGCTTTTGCCAATCTTCTAGAGAAAGTTCGTCGCCGAAGAGAATCCCCGCGCCTTTTCCTCCTCTGATGGGTTTCAAGATAAATTGGTTCTTGATATTGGGGTTGGTATGAAAATCTTGAATGAGCTGGTCCAACTCCATAGACCCTGGTAAGAAAGTCGTCGAAATGCCCTCTCGAAGAATCTCAGCCTGAGCTGGAGTCAGAACCTGCTGATAAACAAGCGAGTCGAGTTCCTGTTGAACAAGGCCTAACATCCGTTTGTCGTGGACGAGAAAGATGGTGCGCATATCATTGAAACAGCGTAATGACAAGTGGCGGAGTATATCAGTCGGAATTGCACGTAACTCTCTTTGGTGAAGCTCAAGATTGACTTGTTGGATTTCCTCAAGTCGTTCGCCATTGTACTGGAATACAGTCGATGTCGATGAGACTGCGGCATCATTCGGGATTACACAGCAGAGCCGTTGACCCAGAAGTGCCTCACTACATGGAATCAAACGCAGGTCTTCGGGTCTGATAAATCGAGGGGAAATTCCCGTCCGTCGTTCAACAGCCAAGGCCAACATCCCGATATCAATCCCATTTTCTTCCCCCTTAAGAAGATGAAGAGTCTTGGATGTGTCGAATAGATTGAACAATCCATTAACAATCTATCCTCATTACACTTTCGTCAGCCTTTGTTTTCTGTTTCTCTTTCTTCCTCTGCTTTCCAAGACGTTGCCGAGAGAATGAATGGTGGCAGACTTACCTCTTCACAGTTCGCAGCTCCCTGGAATCCCTTTTCTTCGGCACCCATATCATCCAAAGCCTGTTGACCATAGGCACCATGGAAGAAGCCATTCCAGCAAAAGCGAGCATTGATCTCGCAGATGCGAAACTTCTCGCAAGTCCAGTTAGGCTTGGAAGAATCGGATACATTTTCAATCAAAAAGTCAGGCCGCCAGGATCCTAGGCACTGATCGAACGAGGGAATTGTTCCCGTTGGCAAACTTTCCATCCACTACAGTATCATTCAATACACGGAACTCGACGAAAAAACATACAAGGAATAACTTACTCTCAAAAGATCCTCTTCATATGGCTCAAGCGGCATCCGACTCGGAAAATCCACCTCGGGATCCCACCACCGCCCAACAATATTCACAATTGCTATTGTGAGTGCTTCTTGGAGATCTTTGATTTGATCAATGTGATTCTCAACATTGACCAGCATCGGGTGGGAGTATGAATCAACAGAGCCCTCCGGCCATATCGAAACTGGACTAGATTTTGACATGCTAGCTGTGTATGCATCGCGATCTCGTACTCGCTCCGAGTGGCCCACTTCTATGGGTGTGTTGATTGCCTTAGAACTGCTTGCGCCAAGGCATATTTGTTGCATTCCTATCTTGGGGTTCCGCATTTTGAGACTCGGTTGTATGAATACTTCGTATAGAAGGATGAATTGGAGTAGACCGATGGCCAGAAGATCGTTTATTGTTAAGAGGGACTTTTTGCACCTCGGTTAAAAGATCCACACACCTCTATAGGGGTAGCGGGTATCAATGGGAATCAATGGGGATGCCTTCCGGGGTCCACCAGTCACACACTTGGAAGACTTGGACTATTTATTTCTTCACATGTATGCCAAGCGTTACCAATTGATAAATATGCAGTACGGAGTAGAAACGTCGAAATCCTGACCTGCGCTAGCCTGTTACGACCAGTGTGGTTGATCCATGCAAGATTCGTTCGATCAATCCAAGATCTGCTTTCGGGATGGATCTGTCGAACCCACTTAGTTAAACTATCACCTTACTGCCTACTTACAGTACTAGTAGTTTGATACACGTATATAATACAATGTATAAAGTACCTCTACAAATTAAATCTACCGGTACTCCGTAGTGTTCCTTACAGTAGACCTTGCATTTCTTTTCTTTTGGTTTCTCTTGCTCGGTGAAGCAAGATCAGCGGGTCATTTTCACTTCTCCACTTTCCCACCGGGTACTCCGTACCCCCCGTATGAAATTAACTGCCAATAGGTTTGACCATCATTCGTAGTCACAGCCAGCGGCCTTGCGATCAGCTTGTTTCCCCAACATTAACCCCAATCAGGAAGAAGAGCGGTGTCAGTACTGAGTACTAGATTCTCCTAGATTCCACTAACTGAATGCAGCCCTAATTGAAATGCTACACTGAGACATAGGATACTCGATTTTGTATGGCGAAATGTGTGATAGAAACGTCAAACTGCATCGACGCCACTAATCCCGATTCCGTATGTTGTAGGACTTCTGCAAGACTTGGCGTATGCATATAATCAACTAGGGTTCAGCGTTGAAAAGGACTCAGATGCATGATGATCATGAATAGTTAACTTGGGTTCTCAACAATTAGAACGGCACCGTCGAGCCCGTTCAGTGCAACTGTCCTTCTCTCTCCACCCCTCTGCCTTTCTCTACCTGTCTCTAGCTTTATCTGCTTCTTAAATGCGCCCTAATTTTCTGCGGCTTTACTAATATGTAATTTACTGCCAAGCTCTTGATTTATTCGTGTATCTCCCCCGGGGCCACACGTTTTGTATGGTAAGATGGGTCAGTCCAGAAATACATCGTACCCGGGCTACAAAATGCGAATAACAAATCCTTGTACTCCATAGGTCATGCATGCGAACGTTGGATGGATTGAGCGCGGAAGAAATTCTCGCTCAACAAAAAACTCGTTGGTTGAATTGACAAATGGTATGAAGATGGATTTGAATCATCGCCGATCTGCGCTACATTAAAACAAGTCAGCTAGTTTAGCAATCGAATGTATCAGATTTATCGGTAAAAAATGACTCAGTGGGTGGGGGTCAAGTGAGTCTGTAAGCTCGATAGTTACCTATGTTGTATAACATAGGTAGGTACGGAGTACTCCGTACACATATAGGCAATTAAGGAAGGCGGGAACTATGTGGGGCTAAATGACATGTTAAGGTTATACTCTGTATTTACAAGGGAGTATCCGTGGTATTCAAAAAGCTTATGGTACCAGGTTGACCGCCTGGGACAATGTTGCAGTGTGTGCTCCGTATTCCGTACTAGACTAGGGGCATGTGCCATTTTGATATCACCATGAAAGTGTCCATTATAACTTCCCTGGTCATCTAAATGGCACCTAATTTGAATGATGGAAGGTGTACTGGCTAGTAGTATATGGGTACATAAAGTATGCAAGTTTTGAGGCAGAACGGGTGTTTACATGCGGTCCACCCGATTGGGAAATGGGCATACTATTATGTAATTAACCCTCAATCCATGGATGGATTTCAAAAAAAGGTAAATGGGCATGAATTTGGAATTGCGCTAGAGACCATGGCCTAATTTACATATAGCACATGTACAGGGTAATATGTCACGGTAAATTCTGAAATGAGGCCATAGATGCTATTTCCTAAGTACTTGTACACAACTCAAGCACCGTTACCACTCAGCTTGCTGAAATATTGAATCCTTTTGAAGGTGGATACACATTTACCTCAAAGGTCTTCGAATATTCACAAAGCGCATCACCTTATTACCAGTCTTGCTGCGCTCAAAGTCTTGGAAGCTCGAAACGAATACAACCTGGAAATAGGCTTCTATAGCAGGGTAGACACAGAAGAACTTCGTCAACTCCTGAACAAGTTCCTCGTCAGATATCGTGTGACTTCCAGATTGTCCCCTGAGAACACGAATTTCTAGGTTATGAATAGAAGTGGAGCATTCAGTAAGAATGAGCTGCCATTGCAATAGAGAGAATTCGTCTGTTTGCATCAAGCGGAGGAGAGTGTTGAAGTTGAAGTATTCGCCTTGCCAGCTGAAGCTGAAGCGTTGATCACGCCCGTAAAGCCGAAGGACCTTCAAGTGCTGTGACTCCTCAGGGTCAATGATGTCGTTCTCAGGCAGGGGATGTAGTGAACCGATGTCTCCTGACAGATATCGGATGAGGGGATTTCGCAAACGCTGAAGAGATGTAGCTGCGATGACACCCTTTTCACCATCTGCAAGAGGTTTGATATCCCCATGCGAGTCGATGTTGCCTGGTTCAGTGACTGTTTGGGACAGTACTTCAATGATGATAGTCCGGGTATCGAAAATGAAATCGGCCGAGTCGTCATCTTCATGATTCGTCACGGCATGGTTCATCACGGCCCATGGACCAGACTCGGCACTTGCGAATGCGGAGCAGATCAACACATCACCGAAAACCGATCTGACATGCTCTCGTTGCGCTCGCATCAATGGTTCAGACGTGTAGACGACTTTAGTGATGCGGATTTCTTTTCGCTGCGCCTCTGGCAAGGAAGCAACATACAAGGCAAATTGGAGAATCTGGCCGGAATCAGCTGTGATGACATTGATGCGAAAGGCAGAAACCATCTCGGCAACTTCAGCATGAGGCATGAGATGGCCGGCACAGAATATCGTTCCGCCGGCATTCTCAATAACCTCGGCCATCAAGTCGAGAGATCTGACGATCATCAGCATGTGGAATAATGAAATGTGCAGCAATGGGAGAGATTACCGGTAGAATTTACCTGCGGTATGCATCGATAAAACACAATCACCAGGTACAATAATGCCGCATCGTCGGAGCAGGTTCCCCATGGACATCCTCTGAATGCGGTTCTCTCGTGCATCAGTTAGGAAGTACATTGGGGCACCCCCTGAACCACCGCCAGTGGTGCTGATATAGGAAGCATGGCGGAAAAGATTGTCTGGTACATCATCTGCTAGCAACCGTTGGATTGTTTCGTACCTTGTCACTATTAGCATGAATAATTGATAGATGGTGGATTACTCGCGTACAGATTGTCTTTCTGAGTGAGAGGTACACTGGTCAGATCTAGACATTGTTTGTCTTGTTTATCACTGATGGTTGCATCTATTTGAGCCTTTGTTGGTGGGAACCGAATGCTGGAGTTATAGAAGGGATGGATAGTCGACACTGCCAGAATTTCCTTTAGTGTATATGTTGGTGCTGTGAAGAAATCCATTATGGCACGCAGAAAATAAATGTTATGAGCAATACAAATGGGGCGAATGAATTTAAGAAATGCCTTTCACGAGAAAAATAGACCGATCATTCGTTTACATTGCGTGTGGAATACGGAGTACATGGTATGGTATTCTGAATGTACAATAGATCGAACGCCACTGTACTGTGGTGAGTGAGTTGTGAACTGTAGGTGGGTTCTATAAAATATGGGTCCCGGCTCGGTGTACGGAGTAGAAACTGACGATACCACTGTAATACGGACTAGAGAGATGTAGATCGGACCCATCTGCACCAAAGCTCTAGAACCCAGTGGAATGATGTGTAAGATCCCAACGGCACTAAATCGAGTACTAGAATCGACTATTTGTTTATGTACGGAATATTGTCTCAAACGGAGTCGATCCTCGTCAAATCGGGATCCATCCATCATTGTGCGGTGTGTTTGCACCAAGTAAAAAAGGTACGATTTAGAGTATCTAGTAACCTTGAAGGCTTGCTGCATTGAAGCACATTTCGTGGCAAATTGTAGCAAGTTGTAGCATATTCTGTGTGTATTTTGAAGTCAACAGCTCTTATCAAAGATACATTTTGATTGCGGTGCTGGTAGTACGGAAAGTGGTCTGTCCAATTCTTCTCTTGGATTTTGAGGGGCAAGTCTTTGAGAGAACTCATCGCGAAATCCAGGGCATTCCAATTCCAACTCCTGCAGGCGAAATAGTAAGAAGCAACTTTTGATTCCCTCCTTCTGATAGATTTGGGTCAGGGTGTAATTAAAGAAGCACCGAATGGTCTTGCATCCCACCGAACTCGTCGCAGATGTCGATTTGGATCCTTGACATGATTTCGCGCATGTAACCAGCGACGGTTATCCATAAGAATGATGGACCCCCGGGATAGATCTTGGGCTGTGAGGTGCAAAGTATGTGGATTTGCTTCAGGGCCAAGAAGAACACTTTTGAGCTCCTCCAAAGCTTCAGCGGCCTTTGGATTCAACGGCGTAATGATGTCTTCGCGGAAACGAAGCTGGATGGTCTTTTTATCTGGACTTGTCGCCAGTAACCCCCCAACGATATGTTCATCCTCTGGGCTCTTTTTGAACTCTGGAGGAACGGCAATTAGATAATTTGGGGCGAAGAGACACTCTTTCGCAAAAGGTGAAAGAAGAGCGAGCAATTGGTCAACTTTCAAAACGGACAAAGTGCCTCCGCCACAGGTATCCGGCTGAAGAACATGCAGGGCGAAGAATTGCGGTGGGCATTCCTCATAGCTACAATCCGTATGCCAGGGAAATTCTTCCATTGTTTCCGATCGAGCTTGGCAATCTTGGAGACTTGCTGGTGTTGGGCGAATGTCCCACATCCAGCCTCGATTGGCGCTGTGGGTGATTGGTAGGCCGTGGCCGTGGGTTTTGTGGAGTCTCTTGACGAGGGATTGGATGTAGTTGCTATCATGGTCATCGAAGGCAAGTTTGACGTGTAAGATAGCATCGTGTTTGAGGAATCGATCGATCGTAGCAAGGTGAGCTTGATGAGAGGCAAAGCTTGGGTGCGGGATAGTGATGTAGGGAATAGATGCCTCTAGACATATGAACCTGTTTGTCAGTAAAGAAAATTAAATGCAAGATAGTCTTCACTGTGTTCAACTGACTGGTAAAAGGACGAGAATGTATTAATCGTTGCATGTTGAAGAATTATATAGAAGCATCAGATAAAAGTTTGTTTGGTTGAGATATTCGTTCCCATGGGACAATTCTCTGATATTAACGAATCTACAATTGTGTACCCCAGTCCGGCAGAGAACTATGCCAATGCACATGCACATACTTGCTAGTGCTTTTTCTTTTACTGGTAATATCAGTACGAATATTATTATCAATCAATTACTAGTATATACTAGCTTATATAGCTTTTTCTATATATAATTTGTTGTATGCATTTAAAAGAATTGAAAGAATACCATACGTATTACGGAGTACGGAGTACTGGTGGCGTTCATGCATTAGCGTAATCACCCCACACTGCCCAAGTGAAGCCGGTTAATATGATTTTCACACCACTTCCCAATCAGTCACAGCTTTATGTAGGTTATATGTAAGGTATCCGAATTATAATCTAGGTACGGAGTATATACGGAGTAGCTTAGCATACTTTGTGATGCTACAATGCAAAACCTCTACATGAAACATATTATTAAAAGGTGATCTCAAGTCGCGCTATGTAGTATAGTGTAACATCCACTTTTTATGGTATCATTGTACTAATTTTACGTGGATGTAATTCAAATAACATACATAAAATACGGGAACGAACTTTGACCGCTAGTACTCCGTAGACCCTGTGGAGATGCTCTGCTACTGCATCACACTACTGCGCCATGGTATCCATTGTTCAGCTCAATCGTTTAATCCAGCTCCCAAGATCTACCACAAAATAGCATCAACCCTACGGAGTACAACCTACTGAAACCCCTTTTTTGGAGGAATTAAGCGCCATATTATGTCAGGGTCCACCGGCGAATTGTCACATGGGAATCAGGACAAATTCAGGAGTTCCTCATACCCTGCCACACCCCCCAGATGTACCCTCCATTTTTTTTTTCACCCGGGCTCTGCGTATCTTTTTGCATCAATGGCTCCGTTTCCCGGATTTGAAACATTTTCAGTGCAGACTTAAGCCGATCCTGCTGTCAACATCCGTGGCCTAAAGAGTGGTGATGCCTCACCTTCCCTTTCACCACTGCTTTTGCTACATGGATTCCCTCAGACACTATACGCTTGGCATCGCATTGCACCCGAGCTTGTCGACAAATACACCGTCATACTGATCGATATTCGCGGTTATGGACAGTCGTCAAAGCCCGAAGGTGTACCAGCCTACGCAAATTGTGCCATGGCTCGTGATTGCACTACCGTAATGGACGCTCTAGGCTTCACAGAATCATTCTACGTCTATGGTTCATTATGGTGGTTCTAGAATGGCGCATAAAGCTTTGTGCTGACTATCCTAGTCGGGTAAAGAAAACAATTCTTATCGATCTTTTTCTAACGCTGCCCATGTATACGAAGATAGACTTCCACTTCTCCAAAGCTTATTTTCACTGGTCCTTGTTGATTCAGGATGCGCCACTTCCAGAGATTCTCTTGTCGGGGGATTCCAGGAAGGTGATGGAATTGTTCATACGTGAAGAACCCGGTGAGGGTTGTGAGATCTATCTCAAAAACCTGGAAGATCCAGCTACGGTCCACGCCATTGCAAGCAGTGGCGGAATGGAAAATTTTTGTGTAGTGCTACAGTATTGATGCGGGTCATGACATCCCATACGAAGCACCTGAATTGATTGTGTCTGCAATTCGCGATTTTTGTCGCGAATGATGTGGAATGATGTGATCATCACTTATTTCCTTTTACACAAAATCGCCTAGGTGAAAATGTGTCCTGGGCAACCAAACATAAGGTTTAAATAGCTACATGGTCGCTCACGCATCACTTTATCCCACTTACTGGTACTTAGATCTTTTTCAACCCTTTCAATTCCTGTTTGTGAAAGCCACCAATCCACATCGTGCTTATATTGTACCCCAGTCCAAGAAACTTACTACTTGAGTATCCGACGCTGACAGCATTGACTGAATACTCACTGCACCCCATTTCCTCAGTTACAGCTCCTGTAAAAGGCGCAGGTAAATGATTGACTGGCAAACCAAATATCTACTGTCATAGCCAGTTATGGGTTCCATATTCCCACCTCTGAAAACGTTCATGACCGATAAAGTGATCATTCTACGGCGTCCAGGCCACGACTACCAGACGGCACCGAACTTTTCCTTCCTCATCAAACACCCTGAGCTTGGGCGCACCGTCCTATTTGATCTGGGTCTTCGCAAAGACTAGTGAAATTCTGCTCCGGTTGCTCGGAATATCCTTCACAGGATTTTCAGGAAGGTCAATCTCATCTGTCTGTCCGAAAAGCATTCGAGAAATCCTGCAAGATGGTGGCGTTCCGGTAAGAACACATTGATACAAAAAGGTGGAGCCACTAGCACGTCGATCACATCGGTGATCCAAGTCACTTCGACACCAACCTCAAGTTGGTCGTCGGTCCGGGGTTCAAGGAACATAATTTGCCGCCATATCCGCCCAACAAGCAATCAATAGTCTGAGAAAGCGATTTTGAAAGCCGTGAGTTGGAAGAACTCAGCTTCACCGAGAACAGATTCAAGATCGGATGTTTTAATGACATGGACTACTTTGGAGATGGGTATTTTTACTTTCTCGACGCTCCTAGTCATTCTATCGGCCACATTGCCGCTCACGCATGAGTGAATTCAGCACCAGATAGTTTTATCCTAATAGCAGGGGATGGGTGTCTTCGTGGTGGTCAGCTTCGGCCCAGCCAATGCTTCCCACTCCCCTCAGCGACCATTTCACAGGCTTTGCTTCTCACCCCGGATTTTCCTTCATACGACTCAGCACTGGAGGCGTTGTGTGCAAAGGGAGGTATGAGAGCCCCTCTTCGTTCAGCAACGAGGAACGGTGTCAGTTATAACGCAGATTATGCGAATACAACTGTTAGATATTTTCAAGATGCGGACGGCAGAGATCAGGGCACTCAGGTGACTATCAGGTGATGCTCAGTGAGCAAAGGGCGGCAAGGTCTGGCCACTATAGCGGAAATGGAAGGCCAAGAAGTGTACGTATGTGTATGGTGGAACATGTGAATGGTGTTTGAATCTAGCAAAGAGCCAAGCTAGAGATATGACTATGAAATAGAATAGCATGTTTCATCACGAAAAGCCCGATCTAGGCCTTTATATAATCTCGATCCAACTGCATATCCAGTTCCAGCCACTGAATACTATCTATATTGAAGCATATGCACCCAACCATACGATGGAACTTTTACAGGTATCAAAATATCCGGCAGCTACTAGACTACTAGTGAAGGATATGGCAGAGACCCTAGAGACAGAACAGAAATGAGCTATTTGAAGGTCATACATAGAAAAGTCTCTTACGCGAAGTATATAGAAAACCCCGCTAAAAAAGAAATCACAAGGCGGCATAAGCGGCCGAGTATTCTTACTACCTACTTTTGAAACTGAATCATATGTTTCATTTTTGGTTTTTACTATGTATTCTCTTATAGGTTGTCAGAGATTCGATCTTCTTATTGGCTATGTTGACCCACCGTTCGGGACTTCACATTGTTTCAGGGGTATGGGGTGTTGTAGGCACGGAGTACTCCGTATAGAGAGTACTATGTATGAAGCAGCTAGGATCTATCATATTTGCACAGTATGTTGTAGATGCGGACCATTTCAGACGAATGAGAATGAATTGTGTTCATCAATTATTGATTTTTGCAAGCATATATGTATGTTGTATGTTGGGAGAATGTAATCTTAAATTCTGTCTAACGGCAAATGAAGCAAGGTAAAGGCAGTTATCCTCCGAAGTCCCAGCTTTGGGCCTAAGAGATGGGTATGTGGGGGTGATCTTCGATCTTCGATTTTAATCTTCTTCCTCCTTTCAAGCTCTCTCTGGAGATATTTCCATTCCCTTCATTTTCTTTTTTCTTTTTTTTTAAACTTGTGTGCTATTTTTTTAAAACGGTGAGTGTCTTCCCCACGCCAACAAGTGGTGGTCCCCACCGAAATGTCGTTCAAGGGGGGCACGGATACTCTCGATTGCAACACTTCAGACATTTGTGTCTTTTTGTGTAGAGCACTACACTCTCGGTGTTCTCTTTCCTCGCTTTCCGACAGGGCGACAATTCCTTTGGTCCCGATTGTCCATCCCTAATCATGTCACTTTAGATCGTTACTTGTCGCATTCCTCGAATTTCCCACATTCCTCTCGTTATTCCCCCCCCCCCGGGACACACTTGGATCTCCCGCTACATGTGGCCTTCGATTAACCGAAACGAACATTCCTCGAACTGATCCACATCCCAAAAAATCCCTTCCCGCGAACCTTGCGATCGGAGACCCATTTGCGGGGACTGGCACGCCTCAAATCGGGTGTCTCGAGCTCCAATCGCGTCGGGCGATTCACAACACAGCCATGCCCTGGCGGCCGCTGCCTCGCATCGCCTTTGCCGTAGCCATATACCCTTTCAACCCTTCCTCTCCGGCAGATCTACCATTGGAGCTTGGCGATGAGCTCTACATAATTGAACAAGGCGGCACGGACGGTGAATGGTGCCGAGGCTATCTGGTCGCGCCGCCGTCGCTGCTGGCCGGCTTGACTAGCACCAAAGGCCAAACCCTCGAAGCTCGTGTGTTCTCAGGTATCTTCCCGCGGAACTGTGTTGAGATTAGAGAGGTGCTGGGCGACGGCGATGGATACAAAGCACTGCTAAATTCCGATCGGAAAAGCGTTGATCGACTGACCTTGTCCGGCTGGGATGGAGAATACATGTCCCGAAATAGTCTAGCTTATTCCATCAGTGACCTCCAAGCTGCCGGCGAGGTGTCGGACGTTGTCTTTGCGAAAAAGGGGAAGCCCTCCCAGATTATTATTCACAAGAACGATGGGTCAGACCAGGCAAGTCCACGATGGCCGACAGGTTCCATCCCGCATACACCTGTTTCCTTGACTCCTCGCGACCCAAATGCGCCCAAGCCTGCTGCCCCAGTCCCAATGCTCAAGATCGGTGATGAAACCCCGACTTCTCTCACAGAGCCACTAGTCGATGAGATCGCATCGTGTCTGCGCGAATGGCATTCGACTAATTTACACGAACTGCTTTTGGCACGCCGATATGATGTGTTGGAGCAAATGTCAAACATTGTACAAGAGCTGGACTTTGCAAGACGACAATTACTACACAATGTTCTGACTGGAAAGGAGAAGGAAGCATTGCGGGACGAGACAGTCTGGAAACTAGTCAAGGCAAACAAAATGCTTAGCGGGGACGTGATTGTTCGCGATCCGGAGCAGAGAGGCCGTTTGCTAACGGGTGACGACTCTGCTATCCAATTGGCAAAGCTGCAGTCCGAGATGAGTATGCTCGACTCCCGTCCCACCCCGACATCCGATGCTACAGCCCTTCATCATTTGCTGCTGGAAATCAACGCGGTATCGGGCAATGCGCCGGGACAAGTGACCATTGGAATCCAGCTATTTTCCCGATCGGACGACGGTTCACTCAGTCCATTATCTGAGACTTTTAGCTTAGATATTCCGTCTCCTGATAAGTTCGTCAACATGAGCCAAGGCAGTAGACTGAAGACACTTTTCACCGAGTTGGCTGCAACAGACATTGGAGATGGGTCCGCGAATGGGCGGCAGCTCTATCTAGTTGCTTGGGTCCGTGCCTCAGAGACGCGGTCCACAACTGATACCACCCCTGTGTCGAGGCCATCAATCTCACGGGAAAGTCCGACCCCAACCAAGGCCACGGCAAACGGGGGCATTCAGCCCTCATCCAAGGGCAGTTTGAGAACCCGACGCAGCATGATGTGGGCGCCCAAGCAACGCGGACCAAGCTTTGATCAACCATCTAAGTCCACTACCCAAGGCATTCCACGAACGTCAAGCAGTGCGTCCAGCACCAAAGAGCCAGCCACCGCTCAGCCCACTCCAACGAAGGAGGTCTCGGCGATCCGCACTGTTGGCGTTGGAATCTTAGAGATCTCGCCGATTCTCCGACAGGAGAAGGATGCTGAGCAGGTGATCAATATTTGGTCGCCCCGTCGAGACGGCGAAGACGGTGAGGGGCTGACGGATGGCTTTGACAAGTTGATCCGCGCCTTACTTCCTAGTCCCACCGGCCGGTATGTGCGTGCCGACCCTGCAGCACGTTTACACCTCCATCTGCGCCCCTTTGCTAGTCCCGACGCCGAGTTCCTGATCCGTCAGAACCCCACTATATTACACGATGTGATACAGACACAGCGCATCGGATTCTCCAAGGCTCCTACGAAGCCAAGATCCGATATCTACGTGACGCTCTCTCAAGCCGTGTTTCCCACAGATGCTCTCCTGTCTCACCCACAGGCTGGTCAAATTCCTCTGCAGGCGAGCAGCGGGCTCCACAATCTTCAACTCACCCTCGAAGTGCGTGATGCTAAAGGAGCACGGATAGACAAATGTGTCTTCCCTTCGTCATCCAATACTTCGAACACAGCATGGCGCACTACAATCGCCCAGCGCGGCACGCCTTGGAACCAAACTATTCGCCTCAAGATCCCCACGGAACAGATCCCTGGCTCTCACATGGTGATGAGTGTTGCGGATGCACCAGAATTTCCCTTTGCTCTTGCCTGGATGCCCCTTTGGGACCAGCAGGCTTTCA